TCCGGATAACTTTTGACCTTTACCATCACTTTCTGCCCTGGTTCTGCCATCTATTCTCTTCGTTTATGAATTGTGTTCCATCAGTATATGAGCGATCATGGCTCTCCACATCTTCCTTTCTTTCGTTCTTTCGGATCTCTTTATCATCTATGAGGATATTGTCCAGCATTCACTGGCATATAGGAAATTAGTTGATTTTTTTGAACTTTCATTATTTATAACCATAATTGTCATTAGAAAATCTCACCGGAAGCGTTTTTTTCTTCCACGTATATCTTCAGATTTTCTTTAATCATTTGACCCCAAACAAGGCGATAATGCCACTAAGACGCAAAGGCCTACTGAGAGTGAAAGAGATTAAGAAGCATTTAGTGAGGAGAAAGGGCAATAAAAGAACAGAATTTAGGAAGATGGCGATTGAGGTTGCAATTAATTTTTTTGAAGATTATAAGTGACAGGGAAACAAGAATGTGGAAGAGAGTTCCACAGGTGAGAGAAGAAACTATTAGAATAGAACTTACGGTTGCATTTAGCTAGATCAGCAGTAAAAAGATAAGACCAAGTTGCCAATCTTAAATTTATACGGTTGAGGAGAAGAGCTCTTTAGAACAATTTCTGGCGAGAAGAAGAAAAATGATGTGTTACGGGAAACAGAAGAGGAAGACAATATGGAATATCAAAAGTGCCTTAATCTCCGTTCAGATAAACCAGGAAAGCAGATAAATATCAGGAGCTAAAAACAACGATAAAAGGAAGTAATTTGAAAAAAATATACGGAAAATGAAAAGACTTCATCATAGTCAGACGTTTTGTTTGGTCTCGTTTGTTCTGTTTTACGGCATATCAACCTCAATGAGTTATTTAATATCTACAAGATTTTTATTGTTGGTAATAATTTTTCCTTCAAAAATGTATTGTTGGTAATAATTTTTCCTTCAAAAATGTATTGTTGGTAATAATTTTTCTTCAAACATTCATTGCTGGCAATAATTTTTTACAAAAATGTATTGATGGCATTAAAATTTATTTTTACACTTTCATAGTATTTTGACCCTAGTTTGGGAGTTAAGTATTTGCCCATACAAGGGACCCTAACAGGTGCTATCACCCCAGGTCAGAGTGGACCTAGGAACACCAGCAATTAGGGAGGTGGTTCCACGCTCCTCGAAACCTCCTGTTCAGAGGCCTTGCTGCTGGATGTAGTTTATCGTCTTACTCAGGACGCCTATTTTGGCGGGGGTAGAGGTGCCATCGGCGTATTCTGATCCCCAGCCGACAGGGCAGATAGTAACCTATTGATGGGATTATAGACATCTTATAATTGCATTCTAATATATAATTGTTGCAACATTACACATTTCCAATGATTAAAGTATCCTCATTCTTAATTTTATATCAATCTCTTTGAGAATTGAACTTAAAACATTACATGACTCGTTCGTCCGAGGATTTTCGATTTTTTATTGAATACGCCCCGTATTCAATAAGAAATCGAAAATTGCTTTTTTCACTACAAGTTATTCATTACATCTTATCCAAGTATCAGGTTATCCCATAAGTTCTGTCCGAATTTTGAATAAAGAAAACAAGTGACCAAATGTTACATTTAATTACAGATTCAACCAACAATGTATTTTCCCTGATTATCTATGACTTCCTTACATATATTAACAAGCTTACTAATTCCATTACTGTAAAATTCTTTTGGCTTTGATTTGAAGAACTCACAAATGTCAGTTTTAACCTCTTCCTGTGTTACAAAAGCTGTTTCTTCCAAATGATTCTGTAAGCTATGAAACAAATGGTAGTCTGAAGGAGCAAGATCGGGAGAATAAGGTGGATGAGGAATTTTCTCCCAACCAATCTTTTGTGACGTGATTCTTGCTGTGTGGTGTCGCACATTGTTCTGATGAAACATCACCTCTTTTCGATTCACTAGACAGGTCTTTTTTCCTCAAAGCTTGGTTCAAACGCTCTAATTGCTGACAGTATATTTGAGCATTAATTGTTGGATTAGGTGGTAAGAATTCAAAGTAGATTATTCCTTGGTGATCCCACCGGATTGAAAGAAAAACCTTTTGCCCATGAAGTTCCCTTCTCGGCTGTGGCTGGGGTTTTTCCCCTTTACCAAGCCACTGTCTACGACGCTTAACATATCGATAAGAGATCCATTTTTCATCGCCAGTCACAAGTCTTCAAAAAAGGTGGGACAAGTTGGCGAGAATGGAGAGAAGAGCAGATGTCAACTCGGGATTTCAGGTTGTTTTCAGACAATTCATGAGGCACCCATTTTCCAAGTTTAGGAACTTTTCCAAGTTGTTGAAGATGACGATGAACAGTTGTATGGTTTGAACTGAGAACCACTGCCAATTCCTCAACTGATAAAGCAGGATTTTCTTCAAGGGCTGCTTCAAGAAGCTTTTCATCAAACTCAGCTGGACGTCTGGTTTGATCTTCATCTTCAAGGGTGAAATCTCAATCTCTGAATTTTGCAAACCATCTTCTGCAAGTTTTTTCATTCACACATTCCTCTCCATAAACTGAGTGAATGTTTCTAGCCGCTTCGGCTGCTGAGTTTTCTTTTCTTGAACTCATAAAGCATTATGTGCCTCAAATGATTCTTGGATACTTCCATGTTAGCAGGGTTTTAATCAAACAAAATTTAATTTTATTGTTCTCTGAAATAAAATTTGATCAGTTTAAATGCATCTAAACATAAAAAATAATGTTCAGCTCCATTAGACATTATAAAATACTCTTTAAATTTTGTTCATTTTAACAAAAAATTAAAATTCTGACAGAACTTATGGGATGACCTGATATTTTACAAAATATCACAAAATTAGGGTTTATGTTTCTATAACGCAATGAGATGAATGAAGTAACATAGACCGTAGATTTGTCTGCGGAATATCATTACATTATTGTTACATAATTATAGTGAAATCATTAAGGTTTTTGTCAAAAGCATTTTGTTATTGGTCATATATTAATTTAAAATATTATTTTTGGTTATATATTATTTAAAATATTGCTTTTTACAAGATTTATGTTTTTAAATGGAATAAGATCATTCTAAATTTCTAAATTTCGCTATTGCTCATTAAAATGACTAGAAGAAAGCGATCTAAAAGGAGAAATAACAAAGCGTAAACAAAATAGCTCCAGTTTGTTTAATTGGGAAACTTAGCATTACAGCTAAACTATACTAAAATGCTGCCAATAACAAAGGAGAAAATGAAAAATACCTAACAACAAATCGAATATAGCATCAAAATTGATATTATTTTTATTTATTTGTTATGAAACTAAATACATAATTGTCAACAATGTTTTCGTAAAACTTGATATTTCCTGGAATAAATTCTTAATATTATTATTGTTATTATTTTACTATTTTATTTTAAGTGTAAGTTAGTTTTTATTTTTACTATTTTATTTTAAGTGTAAGTTAGTTTTTATTTTTACTATTTTATTTTAAGTGTAAGTTAGTTTTTATTTTTACTATTTTATTTTAAGTGTAAGTTAGTTTTTATTTTTACTATTTTATTTTAAGCGTAAGTTAGTTTTTATTTTTACTATTTTATTTTAAGTGTAAGTTAGTTTTTATTTTATTTTAAGTGGAATTTAGTCCTATATTTACAATTCCTTTCAGCTAACCATGAAAAGAAATTTTGATCAAAACTACCGAAAAACTTTAAGCGCATATTCCCGTAAAATTATCAATGGTTGAATACGCCTCTCCTCCGCCGGACGCGTCATCTACCCGATCACCTTGAATATAAAGAAGAAATGCGTTTACATTTTTTGTATGAATTCAAACTTAGTCATAATGCTTCCCAAAACTGCTGCAAGCATTAATAAAGCATAGGGTGAAAGATCCACTTGGGATCGGACAGTAAGTCGCTGGTTTCAGAAGTTCAGCAGTGGGGATACGAGTCTTGAAGATAAAGGTGGCAGAGGACGTCGTTCTGCAGTTGACAATCAAAATCTGAAAGCGCTAATCGAACAAAACCCACTTCAAAGTTTCAGGGAAATGTCTCAGATAATTGATGTCAGGATGACAGAAATATATAGATTTTCTTTCTAATGTTGACGTAATACAAGGCCCAAGAGCCACTCAAGGTAGAGGGCTACTGTGCGGAGTTGTATAAGTGTAAGAAGAGCAAGATAAGAGGAAAGATAAACAGCTAATTATAGGCTTGAAGAGGTCAAGATTAAATTCTTTCTTTTATGTGTTGTGTCCCTTCAGGACGTAGGCGATCATGGCTCTCCACATCCTCCTGTACCATAAGTTTTGTCTTTTTGTTATTTCTCCAAGACCTTGTTCCGCCATTCACATGATCAAGCCCATTAAGTATGCCACTCGTTGATTTCATCTGTCTTTCTTTCCCTCTATCCGTCCTGTGAGTATCAGATTTTCCAAGGCCTCCTTCCTCATTATGTTTCTCAGAAATTTCAACTACCTCTTCCTGATGTTAAGTATAAGTTTCCTTTTTGTTTCCATACCTCTCCAAGACCTTGTCATTGCTCACATGTTCGATTCATGGTATTCTCAGCATCCTTCTGTTGCTTTGAGTCTCTTCTTTATCTTTGAGGAGATTGTCCAGCATTCTCTGCCATACAGGAGGACAGGTGAAGCTTTAATTAACGAATAAAATTTCAGAGGGATATAGATTTGAACAAGGTAATATTTCAGAAACGCTGGAAATCCTGAAGAATGAATAAAAAGCGAAGAAAATAAAAATAATACCTAAATAAGGAGATTGGATCATATTTATAACAAAAAAAGAAAAGAGTTTTTAAAAACCTTAACAAAAAAAAAAAAAAAACAGAAATGTAGTCAGAACAATTCGTTCCATTTATTTTTGAATTCTTACAATATCCTGGTCTTGTTTGTAAAAATTGAAGATTCCTTTGACGGATTCATTTGTAGATTAGAAGGCGTAATTTTATTAATCTTCAAGATTTTAAACATATTTATATGATAAGGTGACTTGTCAGGAAGAGAGACGTGATAGACTACAGGCAGAAAAGGTGGGTGGTATGAAAAATGAGAAAGAGGGATGAAAAAGACCGGAAAGATGAGGAATAAAGGAATAAACATAAGAGAAGAAAAAGAAATAAAAAATTGATGATGACTGACGTGAAAGAAAGACTGAAAGAAATGGTGTTTAGAATGAAGAAAGATAAAAGAAAAAAGTGTTAAAATTTTAGTGAAAAGTTGTATGAAAAAAAAAAGAGTCGAAGAAGAAAAACAAGTTAGAAAGAAAACAATTGAAAGAAAAATTGAGAAAGAGAGTGGGAGATGAAGAAAAATGGATGAAAATGTACAAAATCAGACGTCAAAAATAAAAAGACATACATTTTTTCGAGTCGTGAAAAGGAAAATCAAAATAAAAAAAAGGATATTTTAAAAATTGTATAAAAGAAGAAAAAGAAAGAATTGGTAAAAAAAATGAGAATGGTATGAAGTAATTCAATGGTTAAAGGAAGAAATCCAAAGAGAACGACGTCATTGGAAGTCGGTTTATGTAGAAGATGAAATAAATGGCGGCCAAATTATGTTGGGATTATTTGCTCCATTGGATTGACCTTATTGAAATGACTTCGAGGGTGAGTTGCAGAAGCTGGACTTCATTTGCCATCATGAATTATGCTATCTTTTATCATGAAAAATGACTGGTGATAACGAGTTCTTCAAAGAATATTGTTCATACAGGCGCTCTAATTTTATGTGCAGGATGGATCAATAAGTCTGTATCCTGATACGGAGTAAGGTGAAATTTGACTTGAAATTAATGCTCGATCTGTGTGATCAATTTTCTCGACTAAATTAACTGCACTGATAACGAAGCGGATTATATCAAAAGATATATACACACCTATATATATATATATATATATATATATATATATATATATATATATATATATATATATTCTTCGGTAAATCGAATCGAGTTCTCTCAGTCACTGTGTGTTTATCTAAAATAAATACGCTTAAATTCACCTTCATCCCTGCCGTGCGTGAAGACTCCCGACTGATGCCAATTCAGTCGGGTTTCGGTCCTAGCTCGAGGTAACCGGACGTCTAGCCACACTGATGAGCTGTGATACAGCGAAAGAGTCTATCTGTGGATGACAATATATATATATATATATATATATATATATATATATATATATATATATATATATATATATATATATATAGGTGTGTGTATCATTTATGGTATTACTAATATCCTTATCTTTTTGTTATTATCACAAAATTTTGATAGTTGTGCTCTCCGGCTTTCTTCAGGCTTCTGCTAATCTGGGTAACCATCAGAGATTTTTGAACTGAGCCTTTTATTTAATATACGGGTAGATTGTCTTCGTTTTGCTACCTATGTCTAGTGATATCTCATCTTGTAATTCTTTTCTAAGTATTGCTCAATTTTTGGCAGTCCGGCACAGGAAGTGAACTCACAATTACTATGACATGAGCTAACGCTTTAATCCACGTGTTCTGTGACGAGATTTCCCGAGACGTGGACAACGGAACAACAACAATTTATCCTCGCAGATTAAATAAAGTGTCCACTTTGAAATTGCCTGAAGATTACTCGGATCGACAAGTACCCGAAGAAGAAGGGAAGTGATAATAAAAGCGAAGATAAAGACAATAATCCGAATGTAAGTAATCTAAATATTGAAACTATTTGTTGGGTAAAATAAATCTCTATCTGCCTCTTTATCCACTTCATCTCATATTATTAATCCCTTCAGTCTTTATCAAGATATAACATAATTACTTATCGGCATCTCAAAGGTTATATACCAAATAATGGCAACATGTATCTGCGCAGTAAGGTTGAAAGTCGGTTCGTTCTGCGCAGATATAATCAACCAATAATAATATGGATGGAATATCCTGCATTTTCGAAACACTAAATTCATAGCCACATTATGAGTTTGAAACTTTCAAATAGGGAATAAGGTTGGCTTGAGAGATAAAATGAGGATTTTGATAACCTTGGACCTTACAAAAGTTATATTAATGCTAGAAATTAGAAAAATAATGGGTAGATAGCATTGAATTGTGAAGAAGCTCATTAAAGATCTTCTGTTTGTTTCCACACGACTCGACGTAGGTCGGTAATTTAATCCAAAATGTTTTCAGTCGAGTGTTCTCGGCTATTTGTTCAGCCATTACAATATTCAAGGCGTTAATTACTGAGATGAAAACTGTGATTATGGAAATTTGATATTTTTTTAGCATTACGATGTCGGGTGATTTACATAAAATTAAATACTATTGACAAAAAAAAAAATACAAAAAAATATGGCATGAAGATTTTCAGTAGACACGGAACATAATTTACATTATTCGGACTTCATTCCGATATTCACAACGTTTCGGCCGTTGTACGCGCCGGCCTTCTTCAGATTACGGCAATTTCGAATCGAACCCTTTATTTCGTCCACCGAGGTAGATTGTTCTAGTTCCACGTGCCATACCTCTTCTGGATGTCTCAGTTATTTTCCTTTAACTCAACTCTCCAAGGTTTTTGGTTCACCACTGCTGTGGCCTGGTATTGAACTCTCAACTGTTTGGGTCTCGTCACTGGATCTAACCAACGTCTTTATCCACTGGGCCATGTGTCATTAGGGACAAAAATAAATGGTCCGGCTCCAAAATCCAATCATCTAAAGAAAGCCGGAGCGTACAACGGCCGAAACGTTGCGAATAGCAATGAAGATGAGGATAACAGTCCGAATAATGTAAATAATGCAAGGAATCATAATACCTCATCTCAGAGATATAGACAGATATATAGAGAGACATAAAGATTAAAGGCCGGAGGATAACAGTCCGAATAATCAAATAATGCCGATACGATATACAGAGACACATAGAATATTGGAATATGGCAATGAAGATGAGGATAACAGTCCGAATAATGAAAATATCATAATACCTCATCTCAGAGATATAGACAGATATATAGAGAGACATAGACTTAAAGGCTGGAGCGTACAACGGTCGAAACGCTGTGAATATGGCAATGAAGAGGAGGATAACAGTCCGAATAATGTAAATAATGCGAGTAATCATAATACCTCATCTCAGAGATATAGACAGATATATAGAGAGACATAGACATAAAGAGAAACGCTGTGAATATGGCAATGAAGAGGAGGATAACATCCGAATAATGAAATAATGCTTAAAGGCCGGAGCGTAAAGGCAACGGCCGAAACGCTGTGAATATGGCAATGAAGAGGGGATAACAGTCCGAATAATGTAAATAATGCGAGTAATCATAATACCTCATCTCAGAGATATAGACAGATATATAGAGAGACATAGACTTAAAGGCCGGAGCGTACAACGGCCGAAACGCTGTGAATATGGCAATGAAGATGAGGATAACAGTCCGAATAATGTAAATAATGCAACTTCCAGAAATATAAATTGTTTCTTTCTGGTTCAATGTATTGCTTACTTTTATTCTCATTTTCCTTAAAAACAATTTCCCTTGTTCGTATGTTATTTTTGTCATGTCACCGAATACTCATTGTCACTTTCGTAATGCCCATTGTAGTAGAGACTTTGTAATCGCAGATGCAACTATAGTAACGCCGTTGAACAATACTTGTGTCAGACACCTTCGAATAACACTCGCACTAATAGTACTTGCTCGATAATACACGCTCGAATAGTAATCCGTATAGTGATCCGAACATAGGAATAGTATAATGAATAGCGTAGAGAAATAATATAGACTAGAAATGGTGGTCCGTATAGTAATAGAGGATAGAATAGAAATAGCGATCAAATAGACTTCACGCGACTTCCCTATATGTGTTTCCTCTATGGTTCCATGGTCCACTTAATTCAATAATAGGATCGTCTGTGTTTGCTCACTGGCGATTTATGTTCAAAATCAAGTGTCGGCAGCAACACTTCATTCCTCTATGACAGTTATTCACAACAACCTTCTGTAGAACGATGTGTTGCATCGTATCTCCTCCTTCATCTGGGAAGCACTCACTGCGACATTGAAGTTCTGTCTTTTCTGTGTTTCTAACGACATTTAACTGTCTCTTTGTTAAGTTTCTTTGAAGGCATCTTTTGCTATTCAAATGCATCTTTGAATTTCTGCGTCACAATTTGCGTTATTTGTTTATAAACTCTCACGACAGTTAATATTTCTGTAGTTGCTTACTTAATTTTCAGGAATCTAATTGGTAGTTCACTTTTTCGTGTTTCTTTTCTTAACAGTATTCTGTCTTCGTATAGTTGAGAGTCCTTTTTTCTTTCTTTCCTTTACTACACTTTTCTTTTTATATTTGAACACAGTCTCATCTGTGTCAAATTTCCCATCGTCTCTTAAAAAAAGACTTTGCATATTGTAAAATTTTAGGCAATCAGCCAGTTATGTGCTATGCGTGATACACGTTTAGGCGATCATGTACCTTTTCGATACAAGATTGAGGCAGATTTTTTCCCGCAGTAGGTTGCCATTTCTTTCTGTAGTAGACTAGTTGCCATCCAAGGCTATACAACCTGGTCTGTTCTGTTATTTACCCATAGCTGGGGGGAAAAGAAGAAGAGGATTAATACATTTCCCAAGGATATTAACACGTAAATGAATTTCAGTCAGTTATGCGCCATGCGTGATTCACACTTAGGCGATCATGTATCTTTCGATACATGACTGACGAGGCAGATTTTTCCCGCAGTAGATTGCCATTTCTTTCTGCAGTAGACCAGTTGCTATCCAAGGCTATAGAATACTGTCATGCTATTTAGAGAAGACGATTCATTCCTTTCCAAATTGTATTAGCGCGAAAATGAATGTAATGGATTTGACTGGAATTCGAACTCGGATCTCTGATTCCTCAATCCGAGCCGCTATCCATTACTCCAATCTTGCTTGATTTTGATGTTTTTATTCGGAGTTCTTATACATTATTTACATTATTCGGACTCTTGTCCTCATCTTTGTCGCCATATTTATCACAACGTTTCGGCCGTTGTACACTCCGGCCTTCTTCAGGTGGTTGGACTGTCGAACTGAACCCTTTATTTCGCTCACTAGGGTAGACTGTTCTAGTTCGACATGCCATGTTTGATGGATGTCAGTTATCTCCTGTTAATTTCTCCTCTGAAAGTTCTCCACTGCCTTAACCGGGTATTGAACTCACACTCTTTGGGTCTTGTCACTGGATCTAACTAACGTCTTTATCCACTGTGCCATGTGTCCTTGATTTAATGTAAATAATGTACATAATACCTCATTTCAGAAATATAGACAGACTCTTGAGTTCTTATGTTGGTTTGTTTTTTTTGGTAGCGAACATCGTAAAGGATCGTGAAGACAGTTATTTGGTTATGAATAAAGAAAACGTTTCATTTGAAGCTTTTAGAAACAATTGAAGTAGGTTTAAATGAATATAGGCCAGGGTAGAGTAAAGTATCCCATCTCAGTGAGGGTGGCCTGATGTCTCTAGCTGGGTATGAGAACAATTATTAAAAGTCTTGTTTACGTAACTAAAATAAATATCAGTTACAGAACACCTGTGGGTTTCCTCGCGTAAAGGCTGACAATGTGAAACTGATATATTTTATAAAAATGCATACCATGATCTTTGTATTTTTTTTTACCACAATGAATACACAGTGTACTCTTATCCGCGGTTTAACTACAGTGGATTCAATTGTTCGCGGTAGACAACATAAATTAAACAAATACTGCCTCGAAGTCTGTTCAAGTCGGTTGTAAAGTAACTTGAAAAGAATATATTTATTTCTTATCTGATTGATCTATATCCCAACTCTATCGAGGCAGGAATATAAGAGGCGTATTCTAACCATAAAAATCTAAGAGGCTCCCACGTCCGACCGCTTTAGTTAGTTGAAATCCACTGAAAAGTTGGTACTTTTGACCCCAGTAGAATGTCGTGAATGCGTCTTCATATGTACGATCAGAGCTAAGTTTTGAAATCAGAAATTTTAAATGTTTTTTGTAGATGCATGTTTTTATATAGTAGTTTTGTACTTCCACAGTATATTATTATTATTATTATTATTATTATTATTTTCTTTTCTTTGATTTCTGGCGTTTACGGTTTATTTTCTTTCCGGGTCCCGCACAGGGACCTAAGGTTAGAAATGTCATCATGACACTTTCCACTCACAAAAAAAAAAAAATATTACATAGATAAAGCCCTTCGTAAAGTGTGTGCTGTACTTGTCAGAACAATTTTTTGTATCTCCTTGAGGCATGGACTTCCAGGAATCCCTTCAATTAGTCTACTGCAATCTTTTACGACCAGTCCTAGGGCTCCAACTACAACAGGGATTGTTGATGTAACACCCCCAAATGAAGGAAAAAATAAGAAAAGAGTACTACAGGCGTGTACGTCTGGTACTAAATACTGAGCTAAACTCAAACAAATAAGCTTCGTCATGCTCCAGTTCCCTAATCTTTGTGACAAAATCTAAATCTATTAAGGGTGTTTCTGTAATTCTACCTTTCTTGAATGTTACATTTGCACATTTATCTCATCCGACGTCCATACTTATGTCGTCACTGAAGTATTTTACGATATTGAGGAGGCTTTTCAACTCGGTGATTGTTAAAAAATCTGTTTTTCTTATCAACCTTAAAATAAGTGTCATAAAATCTGATTTGACAAGAGTAAATTAATTTCCTGCTCGATTTTTAGATGATAGGGGACATCATAACTTATACTAAGTTAAAAATTAATTGTTCACACTTAATAGTGAATGATATGCCAACAAATTCCTAACCCCGCTAAACAAATATATATATATATATATATATGAACATAATACCACATCTGGGACGTCATCGGCATTTTACTGTCCTTAATTCTTCCTTTATTTTTGCTTCCATTTTTTATCTATTTTTTTTTCTTTGCCTAAACTCTGATATAACGTTTCTGCGTAAACCTCTCGGAGTAGTCTGAACTGACTAAAAACAAAAAAGCAACTTTATCTTGTATGTACTAATATAACTTAGTCTTAATGACTATTTCGTTTTCTTTATTTTTTTCTAATGGCTTCGCATCAGCGATTCTCTCCTGTTACTTATCGACTTTCCTCATGATATGGTGTCTATGCTAATGACACAACCATTTAGTCTTGTCTCTATAGAAAGTCCGATCAGGCCGATGAGGTCAAACTGGCAGCTGTTCTAAAAATTGACCTACAGCGACAATGAATGCTCTAAAATTTAACTGCTCTCCATTAATCATCTGAGAGATCCGTCCCTGCCTTCAATCAGCCTGGCTGATGCTAACCTCCAGGAGAGTGACTCGTTGCGCCATCTCGAGTTAACATTCTCGGCTTACATGGAGTTGAAAGACTATATTAAATCCATTGTTAGGTCAGCTGCTAAGAAAGTTGGTTGACTGTATCGTGCGAGACGATGTTTCTTTCCAGAAAGCTTATACATCTATAAGTCTACCATTCACCCACGCTTAAAATATTGTGGCCACATATGGCCCGGTGCCCCTGATATTTACCTTAAACTCCTTGATAAAAACCGAAGGAAGAATCAGCAATATTATTGATCCTGACGTGGCATCTCGGCTTCAGTCGCTTTCCCACCCACCGTAAAGTTACCCTCCTTTTCTATAAATACTTTCATCATAATTGTTCGGGTTAACTATTCGCTATGGTACCTAGACATTGGGAATTTAAGCGCAGTACTAAACTGGAGACGCGTCTCGTTAATTCACAGTCGATTTGGCTCGATGTAGCCGTAAGTTCTATACTAACAATTACTTTTCTCGCACTACTCGATTGTGGAACTGACTTCCGGCTCCATGCTTTCCAATCAACTCTTCAAAAATTTAAATGCAATGTCAATCGCTGTTTACTTCCTGCTACTATTGTAATGGTCATTTTCTGCGTAACATCAGTATGGCTGATGCTGACCTCCAAGAGTTGACTGGTTGCGTTTTTCCAGGTTTTTTTCGACAGACATAAAATGGAAAGACTACATTAAATCCATTGGTAGGTCAGTTGCTAAGAAAGTTGGCACACTGTATCGTGTGAGACGATATTTCTTTCCAGAAAGCTTTTATATTATCTACCATTCGTCCATGCTTAGAATATTGCTGCCACCTATGGTCCAGTGCCCCTGCTATTTACCTTGAGCTTCTTGATAAAATCCAAAAATGTATGAAATTACTATAAAATTATCCATGTCTTCTCTGAATTGTGCACATTTATTTTTCCTGTTTGTATCTTCGTAAAAACAAGCCGTAAATTCTACTACCACAACTCCAATTGGGTGAGTGAATAACCCGACAAAATTATGGTGATTACCGTCGTGAAGAAGAAAAAAAAACGAATATACCACAGGCTCCAGCCGAGCAAAGAGACAATCAGGAGTTTAACACACACACACACACACACACACACACACACACACACACACACACACACACACACACACACACGCACACATCCTGCAGACGCTAACCTAGCAGAAGACGAAAGCCATTAAAAAGCTTGTTTCATTTGTCCACTTTTGTTCGAATTCTATACCTTTTAACATGCAGCACTGCCACAAACACATACACGTGGGTGTTTTTTAATCCTTAGATTATTGACTGAGACGATGATTACAATGAATGCCTGATGATTGGCACGTGCATCAAACATTGAGTAGAATCTTACTATAAAGCGTATGGGTGTAAGTTTTTAACACACACACACACACACACACACACACACACACACACACACACACACACACACACACACACACACACTCTCACATATATATATATATATCTGTGTTGATGGTTAACAGTGCTCAGTATCGTAGATAGCGTTTTCTAGATATAAACAATGTGAACATAAGAATCAACACTGAATGGTGAATAATCAGTTTCACGCCTTTAAGTCCCCAAAACACACACACACACACACACACACACACACACACATATATATATATATATATATATATATATATATATATATATATATATATATATATAGTTTTAAGTTATGCTATATTTATGGGTAAAACTGCTCAATATCCGAGGTAGGGCTCATGTAAATATATAAAAGTAGACACTGGTTTCAACACCAAACGGCAACAGTCCGTTTATGCTTGAACGTAATTTCAGGCCATCCGCATATATATATATATATATATATATATATATATATATATATATATATATATATATATATATATATATATATATATGTGTGTGTGTGTGTGTGTCTATCCACGCATGCGACTTTATATATGTGTATGTATAACGTATGAGAAAAAACGAAAAAAACTAGAAACAATATACTGAGAGAAAGAGAGAGAAAGAGAGAGCTAGAATTAGATAGATAGATAGATAGATAGATAGATAGATAGATAGATAGATAGATAGATAGATAGGTAAAAGAGAGAAAAATGGAGAGTGAGAGAGAGAGGGGGGAGGGAGAGAAACAAATAAAGCGAGGGAGGATAGAAAGAAAAAAACTATTAGGACAACAATAAATGAATTAATTGCCAAATATTCTGGCAATATTAGGCGGGAGTTTGTTGAACACTATTACTGATTTTTCAATGATAATAATACAAAATAAACGTCCAAAAAATCTGTTCAACATTGTCGGCAACTAATTGGTCAAAAGGAAGAAGGAAAACAAAATATCGCAACCCCCTTCCCTAAAAAAAAAAAATTAAACTCGAGCTAGAAGCAAATGTATAAATGTTAATTCGTCACGGCAAATAATAATTTAAGGAGAGCGGGGGGGGGGGTGAAGCGTTATATAAAACAATAATGGTTCCAAATTTCAAGGAGAGATGCATTCGTGAGTCAGGTAGATTTCCCCTGGGTAAAACAAATGTTCGTGTGAAACATTTTAAATACATTATGCATTTATTTTGTCTGCTGAAAGAAACTTATTTAATTCCGCTGAATACTGACAAATATGAAAACGTTTTATTATATTGCACAGGTCGTGAGAGGAACGCTATCATTCATACATAAATACATACATTTTTTTTTTAGGTGGGGTAAAAATCTATGGCAAAGTGGAACAAGTTTCGTGTGATACGTTTTGTCTTTTAAGACTTCATCCAACTATAGTGTTGTTTACGTTGATGAAGGTGGGAACGCTGAAATTTAATTTTTTTTATCTATATGATTTGGGTGTATTGCCTAGCTAATTTCAAAACACATTATTTTTAAAAATATAATTAAATTTAAATTTAAACTTTCAGAACACCCTTCTCCTTCATGCACATGTGTAATCATATCAATGTAACCATCACTTTCGTCCGATGAAGTACTAAACGACAAAACACGTCAGACATTTCTCTTATAGATTTTCCTTTTATTGTTCTTCATATATGAAAATTTATATATAGTTTTCACATATGTATGTGTGTATATGTATGCATATATATATATATATATACACCCATGTGCAAATTAATTGAAACAAAACGAATAATTCCGTTATTATTTACTTTTTTTTTTCTATTTTTACAATGAAATATGACTTAGTACACATGTTAGTACTTCGTATGTTCATTCTACGATTCCTTCCTTGCAGATTGACCGCAGATTCTAGATTGGATTTAAATCAGGAGCTTTCGAGCCAGTCGATAGTACTTTGATTTGTTCACTGGTAAGGATTACCAGTGTGTTCGTGCAGCGTTATACTTTTCGTACGCTTCCTTGGAGCAACGCCCATCGAAGACAATGGCCGTAGGACAACTAATCGACAGTCGAAACAATGGTGTTTGGGCGTGATAAAAATCTGATGCAATCACGGATGACGCAATATTTTTCAAGGCCAAACAAATTTCATTATACACCCCGAAAATAGATTCATATTAGTGTACACCACTGTAAATGACATAAAATGAGGAAAAAATAGAAATCGATTCCACCCTGTCACACCATTGGGTCTGAAACTGACAATATGGTGAAAGAAAGAGAACTAAAGTGGTTGTTTCAATTAATTTACACAATGATGTATGTATATACAGGTTCAATAGCCATGCCTGTCTTTTTTCATATCCACGACAATTTTTCAATTTTTAGAATATTGCCGCCATATATGGTCCTCTGCTCCTGTTATTTACCTTAAGCTCTTTCATAAGATCCAAAGAAGAATCTGCAATATTTTTGATCCTGTTCTGACAGCTCAGCTCCAGTTACTTTCCCACCACCGTAAGGTTGCCTTTCTATGTCTTTTCTATAAATATTTTCATGGGAATTGTTCAGATGAGCTCTTCGCTAAAATATCTGGACATTTTGAGTTTAAATGCAGCACTAGGCAGGGATCGAGAGCTCATCAATTTACAGTTGAACAGGATGGATGTATTCTATGATAAGAGTTCCTTCTCTCGCACTTCCTGCTTGTGGTACCCACTTTCGGGTCCATTCTTTCCAGCCAACTTCAATCTGCCAAAATTTAAATGCAATGTCAATCGCTATATACTCTCCTCCTGATCCTCTCTTCTCTTTTTGATACTAATTATTGTGTTTTAATGGCATTACTGCCTCTTACTTTGGGATATATATATATATATATATATATATATATATATATATATATATATATATATATATATATATATATATAAAGACATGAGGAAAAACTGTTTTTAGCCATGTGTTTTGTCTTCAAAGAACTTTATCAAGGCAAATGTAAGTATTTTAGTATTTATTTCTCATTTATAATTCTGTCGGATTTAATCAACGTTTGATCTCAGTTCTCACGCACACAGACATAGACACAACAACACATAAATGTCAATGCAAATAGCGTGAAACCCAGGGTCAAACACATCAATCCAACTAAATATATATTTAATTAAGGAATCAGCACATATTCTAGGCCACAAAAAATCATCAATAGAAATGAATACAATATGGGAACCATTAATAAGGAGTGCTGAGAAAAGCGATAATAACAACAAAAATTGCAATATGAGCTCTGGTAAAACATGAATTAATAACTGCAAAAATTCCAATATGAGCACTGCTAAAAAAATAGTTGTTGAAGACATTAGGGTTTATATTATGCAGAAATTCTCAGATGTCCTCACAGATGGCACAGTGGATAAAGGCACAGGAACCAATGAGTTGAGTTTCAATGTTTTGCACATCCGTGGAACTTCCTGCAGTTCGACATTCCAACCACTTGTAATAAATATTTCGACAAAGATGAGGACAATAAATATGACATGATCCAGCCAATTATATATTTTGAGAAATTGATTTTTTTACAAACTTTTCGACCTTTTGCAGAAAATAAAATTTGCTGACACAAGTCCTACTAGCTATAAGAGTTGTACAATTTTTATCAACTCCTCTCTTTTATAAGCCCAAATGTCTCCCTTTACTAATTATTGTGTTTGGTGATATAATGGAAGATCAAGTAGATCCATTTTTCATAGAACCCTAAAAAGCCAGGTGCAAATGGGATAATAATCTTTCATAATTCGATATATAATTATTAATTTTGTATATATATATATATATATATATATATATATATATATATATATAAAGAAATGAGGAAAGAACTGTTTTTAGCCATGTGTTTGATGCTTCTAAAGAACATCAATCAAGGCAAATGTATAAAAACATTTTAGTTGTTTGCGATTTATTTCATTAAAGTTTTATTAGTTTTGTGTGAATAATTCTGTTTATCGTAATTTAAATAACTGATTCATGTGCGACTTTTGGATTAAGTGACATTGATCTTATTGAACAATATAGTTCATGCCATTGACAGAAAAATTTACAGTAAAGAAATTTGTTCAACACCATATTTGGTATAAACGCAAACACACAAAATTTAAAATCACACACACAATAGCATTTTCGGATACAACAACATATTTTCGTTGTCACAAGAGAAAAACCAAGAACAACATATATTCTATAGATGAAGACAACAGACGAAATCTGTTAACAACTAATACGGCAGAAATTTATATAAACAAGGATCAATTCATTCATAACGGATCAGGTTTTGTATACTATTTGAATTGTTTTGCGATGATGGATGTCTCGCCATTTAAAGCATTAACAGTTTTGTGTGAATAATTCATGTATTTGTAAATTGATTGCACGTTTATCGTAATATATATATATATATATATATATATATATATATATATATATATATATATATATATATGTATAGTGGAGAAAACTTTAATTTATTGTATTTCCAACTAATGAATAAACATAAATTCATATAATTATTTGGAAACAGATGCATAATAAGTAAATATGTATAGAAAATAGAAAACAATTGATTTAATAGAAATAAATCCTATTCACCCATTTTAATGATTGAAAAAAATATTCGTACAATACAAAAAGGAATACATAATCTTCATTTAACACTTTGTAGAATCGCCATAATTCACTTCTAATCTTCTTGGAGTTCAAATAATACTTTCCAAATTTTAGTTGATGTTTTATGCCATTCTTCAGATGGTCCACAAAATCGGACTGATCAGGATATTTTCAACAAAACCATTTATTCGTAGATTTTGTAGTGAGGATCATTATTTTGAATCCAATCAGAGGAACCATTTTCAACTGAAATCATTAAATTTGCTTCGAACATATTTTGATATGCTGAGACATTCATTGTGCCATCTATTACAGATATGTTGCCTGTACCTTTTGCAGAAAATGATGCTGCTACCACCAAATTTCATTGTTAAATCTATGTTCTTTTGTTTGAAGACATGGTAAAACATGATTTTTAGAATTACATCCAA